TCTCTGTTGGGAGATAGCTTATTTTTTTTTCCCCTCAAGCCTGTCACTGTAAATAGCTCTGAGCTCTGTATAAATTTGGGTTCTTCTCTTTTAGTTGGGGGTCGCTTTTAATATTCACCGCTGACTTTTAGGGGGGGAGGGTGGTTACAGGGTTGGGGTTTTATTTTTTCCCTCTCTAAAAAAATCGCGCTGGTGTGTGGAAAAACGTGTAGCTTTGTTGAGTGACTTTTGCAAGCGTTAAAAGATGACAAAAAAAAAAAACCCACCACAAAAACCAACCAACCAAACAAACAAAAAAAAAAGCCCCCAACAGGTTGACGAACATGACAAATTAAGACTTTTTAATGAGTGCTGCAGTGTATAAAATCTCAGTGGCACTTTTAACCTGAGTCACTAGAGCATGGCACAACACAGCGGCACCGTAAGCCCAGCTGTATCAACCCAAACAAACAAACAAAAAAAAAAGAGACCGGGAGTTGCCAGCTTATGTTTTGTTGTTTCTGTGCCGACGGGGATGCCGGAGCGGTGCCGGAGGCGTGGGCAGCCGGGGGGTCGCACCGTCCTCTCACCAGGAACCCCCTCTTTCACCTCTGGGGAGCTGGAAATCGGCCGCCGTGCCGTGTTTGGTGGCAAACCCCCACGTTTTAAATCCCAAAGCGCTGCAGAGAAAATACACGGATACGTAGAGCCTGTGCCTGTGGTTATTAGTCACCGGATTTACCGCCGGAGCGCGGCGCAGACGGTGGGCACCGGGAAGAGGGGAGCAGACCCTGTGCCACAGCGCTGCTCCCCGTGGGGTTTTTTTTAAAGCTGGGGGTCCGGCGGGCTGCGAAAGCGGCTCAGGGGCAGGTTTAAACCCTCAGCCTGCAGCACGGCCCGGGACGGATCCTGCCCTCCCCGGCTGCAGTAGCCCCCCGGCAGCAGGGGCTACGTGGGGTTTTGTGGGCGAGCGCTCCCCCGCACCGCAGCAGGGGTTTAACACCAAAACATTAAACCAGCGCTGCAGCGGGGGTTTAACACCAAAACATTAAACCAGCGCCGCAGCAGGGGTTTAACACTAAAGCATTAAACCAGCGCCACAGCGGAGGTTTAACACCAAAGCATTAAACCAGCGCTGCAGCGGGGGTTTAACACCAAAACATTAAACCAGCGCCGCAGCAGGGG